ATGACTCAACCGACGGAGAAAATAAGCCTTCGGTAGAGAAGAGAAAAGGCGTTTCTCATTGGTGCATTTCTGCTGATTTTCATTACATGAAGCTGCAGCAGCAGGAAATTTAGCTCAACTACGAGTAAAAATTACAGTGCAGTAAAAGTACTTTAAAACAAGTTACTGAAGTAAACATAACTAGTTACTATTACTACCCACCTCTGCCAATGGCTCAACAGCTGAGATGAATTGAGCAGGGGCTTTGAACCAGCAATCCCTCCTCCTGAGCCTCCATTGCTGCCCAGATGCAGTCTGGGAACAGAACAGGAAGCTTTCAGGTTCTTCTACTCAAACCTCTGACATGCTGGTAGAGCAACCAGGACATGAACACCGCCAGGTTCTAGACTCTGAACTCTAGAAAAGTCATGTTTGTGCTGTGAGACTGATGGATGAGAACCTGCAGAACACTTCTCTGGTCCAGGTCCACACCTGGAACACCTGATCCTGCTGTCTGAGTGTAGAACAGCGAGCTGGACCGGGGCAGACACACGCTACCCATACTGCCAGCGAACGCACCACCTCAGCTGGCGTTCAACCTCATTGATGCCCCATTTAAGGTGCAGTTATCAAGGGGGAACGCACCGTCTCACTTGAAGGAGTTCAGATTAACGGATCGCCTTTGAATGCACCCTCTGAAGCTGATATTGATATTTTCAATCGTTGCACGCAGCTACAGCTCAACTGTAACATGAAACTGCAGGGTTTAAAAGTTCACAGCTCATGATGTTTGTATGCGGTATCGACCTGCTCACACTGTACGTCTAAAAACCATGTCGCAATCTGTGTGGAGAGATTGCACTACTCGGACTCGTCAATCTGGAAGAACTCCGTTTTTTGCACATGCACAGTGCTCCATGTTCCACGAACGCCTCACAAGGGCCGACTACATTTTAAACATGTTTGATTTTCTCCACACCTTACGATTCCTGACCGGGAGGTCATGTGCGGCTGATCGCCCCTCGTTACCCCGTGTACACGACGCACCATTAGGCTTAAAGTTGGCTCAATCGAAAAAATTCTCGCACGACTTGAAAGTCGTCCCAAAAAGGGCCAAAAATCATACAGCTTAAGGTAGCAAGGTTCAGAATAACATGGCGCCACAAAACACGCCACGAAGGAGCCTGAACAGGCTGCAGGCGAAGCTCCGAGTCGACCCGTTTGCTGTCTACAGGTGTGGTGTAGAGTGTGTCCGTCCTAATAGAGTGCCCCTGCTGTGTGTAGCGCCCCCTTCAGGCCGGTCAGAGAAGAGCATAGAGAAGATTGTAGCTAAGCAGGCAGCTGTAGGCTGGTCGGCTGCCTTCTGTCCAATAACTCACTGCTTTGGACCAGAACTGGAGATGGCCCTGAACACGGAGCAGGAGGAGAAGAGGCTGCTGAGGGAGCAGGTGCACAGCCTGGAGGTAGTCCTGCACACACACACGCACACACACACACACACACACACACACACACACACACACACACACACCTTTGCTGTCATTTTAACCCAACTCTGACCTTAACCCAACCATTTCCAGAAGATAACTAACCGGAACCTGAGCTCGATTCAAACCTTAGACCTAAACCTGAGCAGGAAGTGAGGACCAGCAGAAAGATGCTCAGTTTGATAGTGAAACCAGTAAAACAGTTCCAGTTAAACAAGGCTTTCTAGTTTTTAATCTTTAAAGATTTTTATTGTCTCCTGATTTCTGAGTTCAGCAATGAACCAGCAGCTCCTGCTGCTCAGACCAGTGATGCCAGATGCTCCACAGTGATCAACAGCCAAAAGAAATCCCTTCTAAGTTTTAAACATCAATCATTTAATCCGATGGTACCAAACTTTATATAATTAACTGCTAATCGAGAATCAATTGTAGGCTGATCATTTGTTTACACCTCTAGCTTGGTTGCCAGAGTAAACGCGAAAACAAATAAAAGGAAGTATTATGAACTATGGCTGGGCAAAATGACTTAAAGATCTAACCTCTGATTTTTTGCCAAAGAAAGTAACAACTGAAGTTTATTTCTATAGTTCTAATTCACAACACATGTCAACTCAAGGCACTTGAGAAAAAATTTCTATTTAAGGAAAACCAGTTGATTGACCAATTTAGAGGAGGGAAACGAAGGGTTAAATATTAAAAAAAGTTGTAATATTTACCAGCCTTTGGAGTTTTCAGTGGCTGCTTCTAAATTCACAAGAACGCGAGTACAGACTCGTGTCCTCGCCAAGTTTGTTCTTCAAAAGAACACAGGAAAGTCTGGACTTGGGGAGAACGGGAGCACGCAGCATAAATATGGGTCAATTGGAGCGGATGCATATTGATGACATCACCACACGCTCAGTTCGTCTGGAGCTGCATTTCACCTCCTGTTATTAGTCTCTAGATAATAATACTTTTTTTTTAAATTCATTTAGTGGGGGAATAATAATGAACACAGTCAGAAAAATGCAAATCAAATGAACATTTTACCAAATAAAATAAATCATCTTCAGAGCCAGCAGTACTTCACACATGGCTTTGCCGAGAGAGGGCCGCTGCAGACGGGCTAACGTTAGCCCTGGCCGCTGTAGACGGGCTGCAGACGGGCTGCATACAGGCTAACGTTAGCCCTGGCCGCTGTAGACGGGCTGCAGATGGGCTAACGTTAGCCCTCGCTACTGCGGACGGGCTGCAGATGGGCTAACGTTAGCCCCGGCCGCTGTAGACGGGCTGCAGACGGGCTGCAGACAGGCTAACGTTAGCCCTCGCTACTGCGGACGGGCTGCTGGGACAGCTGTTAGTCTCAGAAGGGACAAGTCTGCTCTGATGCATGCTGGGTAAAGAGGGAGGGGGCGACAACAACAACCGGGGACTTTGTCCGTTCTCGGTCTTCTTGTTCTTGTGAATTGGAACAGTACTAGGGATGAGGATGATGATGTTTCATGAGCACATGAGAACGCACAAGTAAACGTATTGATAAATGGCCAATAAGTCAGACTGGAAGATTGTTGCTACTCCTCCTCCTCGCCCAGAACTTCTGGGGATGTGAAAATTTAAATATCTTGAAGGAGTTGCCTCATTTATGCTCACATAATCCTCTTGCTGCAGCCAGGTTTCTGTAAGGCAACATTAATCAATGTGATTATCACAGATCAAGTCATTAACTAGCAGACTTTTAGAGGAAAGAGATCTTATGTTAAATAAATCACATTTAATCGTTTCAACTTTTTCTCCAATTGGAATTAATTAAATTTTAATTAGATTATCATGATTTACTCCTTTGGGAATCTTTTCTAATTTAGTAGATTTTGGTCGTAACAGTAGAGAAGCTGCAGAGAGGTCTGTTAAACTACGGCTCACCCTAGTGTGAGGTGATGAAAGTTAAGCTGTGAAAGATACTTTTAAATTAGTTATTTATATAACAGACCCGTTGTTAGCAGGTGGTTTATCAGTTTGGAGACATTTAAGAAAGAGAAGTGATGAACTGATGCAACTCTGAGCTACAGAAGAACGACATTGGTGGAAGAGAAATACAATAAAATAAAATCTTCATTAACAGGACATTTTATTCATAGATCAAATTGATTAATTGCCATATTATAAATGGAAACTGGTTGGAAAAATCAATTTACTGTCACACCTCTTATGTTAGTTTTGAGCTTAATTTACCTACTTTTCTTCACTAGGCAACACAGTCGAGCAATATTCACAGTTTGCATCATTTTTATGATGCTAATCTCATTTCTTTAAGGCTTAATGTGATTAATTTTCACAACATCTGGTTTGATGCTCCTTTGCTTAAATAAACTGAGTGGATTTATATTTCAGGGCTTTTTAGTTTATTGTAGCGTTCAACCGGAGCCTCTGCTGCTCTCCTGAACTGCTCAGCCAAACAGAAAGGTTTAGAGATGCAGAACTTCTCCATCTGTCTGGAGAACAAGAGCTGTGATGAAGGTCCAAACCCTCTGCCTGATCTTCTCCCCCCTTTGTCCTCCTCCAGGCCTCCAAACAGGCTGAGATCTCCAAACTACAGGAGGAGATCACCAAGGTGAGTCCTTAGATCCGGACATTAGGCCTGCAGCCTCCTAAAGAAGATAGATGTTTAGAAATCTCTGCTGTGTTTGCCTTTCAGCTGCTGGACAAGTTAAAGAAGAAGCAGGAGAGGTGAGAGCACAGCTAATAATCACCGCTGGCATCAGATGCTGATTCAGGCTTTCCTCAAACACCTAAAATGTACTCAAAAGTTTCATTACTGTGGTTTGTTCTGTTTCTGCAGTTTTCAGCGTCTTCAGACGGAGAAGGAGGTTCTTTACAACGACAGCAGGTCAGAACCGGTTCAATGCTAGAGAGCGACTTTGCTAGATTAGCTGTGATCAGTCGGTAAAAGGTAGTGCTCAGAATAAATCAATAAATAAACCTTTGGATGAATATCTCTTTAGAAAGACACTTAAAAAAGTATTGAAACCTAAATTATTGTATAAAAACCCACCAAATGGAAACGGGCCGAGTTCACGGCCCTGAGTGACGCACTGAATTCCTCCCTAGTTTCTGTCCTACAGGAACAGAGGGCTCTGTCCATGGTGCTGACCTGCTCTGTGTTTCTCTGCAGGACAAAGATCGACGAGATCAACCAGAGGAAGGAAGAAGACCTGAAGGCTGTGAACGTCCGCCTGCAGAAGCTGCACTCGGACCTGGCAGCAGCCAATCAGGTGAGAGCTCAGCAGCAGACCATGTGACCACATCAGGAAGTGTCTTTAGTTCCAAACTTAAAAACTGAGACCAGAAAGAACAGATTCTGTTCTGTGTTCAGGCAACAGCGGAGCTGAGAGAGCAGCTGCAGAACAAAGACAAGGAGCAGGAAGTGGTTCTGCAGACCCTGAAGGAACAGGTGAGGCCGCCTCAGAGGAACCTGGAGCTGCACGGCTGCTCTCTTCTGTCGCTTCTACCTCAGATTCACCTCCTGTGGTTTTAAAGAGGCCCGTTCATGTTCTGCTAATGTTCTGTTAGCGTTCTCCTGGTTCTCTGCTCTGCTCGTCTCCTATGGTTCTATGTTTGCTTGGTTCTTTCTCTCGCTGCATTCACTCTTTCTTCTCCTTTCCTCGATTCTGTCGGCTTCTGTCCATCTGCTGCCCCCTGCCTGTGGCCTGGCGGTACTGCAGGCGGCCAGTCAGGAGCAGGTGGACAACGTTCTGCAGGAGAACGACGCTCTGAGGACGAACCTGGCCGCTCTGGAACAGGTAACTAAACCACGTCTGCAGAGAACGTCCCACCGTCTTTGAACGCGCCATCGACCCACTCAGAACCTTTAGAGGAACCCAGACTCTACAGGGAACTTCAGGCTCTGACTGAAACCTGCAGCTTTTTCAATTCAACTTCATCTAGAACGTCCAGAAGCTTGGGTGTATATAGCACCGAGCTGCCTGATGGCGTGTCGAGCAGCGGAGGGGGCGTTTCCATCAAGGCGCGTATCGAGGCTTGCTTCGTTAAGGGGAGGAGCCAAAATAGATGACGTCCGAAGCCTCGCTACCCCACCAGACCACGTTTCCGCATCAGGAAGTGGTTCAGATCGCCCATAACTTCGACAGGCATGTAAACAGCCTCAGTGTTCAGTCAAGACGTGGGAGTTTGTAGGAGAGTTGCTGTTAGTTGGATAGAGTTTGGATAGATTCTAAGAATAGATTGGTTGGAGAAAAAAAAACAATCTAGTTGCTTAAAACTAGTTTGGTAAGATTAAACAATGTAATGATTAAAACCTGAGCAGACCACTGGTTAGAGTTGTGACATGAGTGTTGAGTAGGATTGCTTTCAGTTAACTTGCTAATGGCATCGGCTCTAAGACACCGAGTTCTAATCCTGATGTTGTTGGTTCGAATCCCACCTCAGACTTTTAAAAGTTGCGATAAGACACAAGTATTTTGGCTAATGTGACTAAATTCCCTGAGCAATCAGCTGGTTTTCCTTAGAAAACTTTGAATCAATGTGACTGGATGATGTGGTGAACTGGAAAGTTCCTTAAGATGACGTGTTATGGATTGGCGCTATAGAAATAAACATCACTGAGTTGAATTGAAATTAATTTGTATTGGTTTGCTTCAGTTCAAATATAGATAGGAAATATAGATTGGTTAAAAACACTGCCAAAGTTAGATTGGTTGGTTTAGCCAAAAGATTGGTTGAAGGTTAAAACTGTGGAAAAACTATTAAGTTTGAATAAAAATTTCTAACACATTTCATTTTGCTCACCGTTGCCCAATTTGAACACTTCCACTGTTCGCTTTAGCTTATTTATCTAAAATGGCAGAAACACAGTGAACCTGAAATGATTGTTCTCTTCTAAGACATTCTACACACAATAAACTTAAAAAAGATATTATTATACT